CCAAGATATGCCTGTTATTATCTGTCTTTCTGATTATTGCCATCCTAATGGGCATGATTGTACTTTTACTTTGAACCGATATCTTTTTATTAAAAGCGGATTTCTTGATGATTGCATACAGTTGGATCATGCTTTTAAATCCAGTTGGACAGTCTTTATCATTTTATTGATGTGTTTAGCATCATTTACATTTCAAGTAATTATTACTAAATTGAATTTAAATCTACCACATTACTACTTGTTTTCTATTTGTCTCATTTGTTCTTTACTCTTTTCCCCCTCTTTTTGTGCATTCTTCACTTGATTTCTGATGGTTCTGAGTGATGGTGGTTCTATATTTTAGTTTAAATTTTGATGTGGTTGTGCAAGGAGGTGAGCCACAGTGTTTACCTGTGACGCCATCCTGACCAGAAGTCTCCGGTGCTTTTTATTTCCTTGTAGGTTGCCATATTTTGTCATACTTCTGCTGGAAGAACTACCCCTAATATTCTTATGGTGTTTGTTTGCCAGAATAAACGTTTTCAGCTTTTGTTTATTTGAATTTACCCTTTATTTTTGAAAGATATTTTCACTGTGTATGTAGTGCTGGGTTAATAGCTGTTTTCTTTCAGTATGCTGAAAATATCATTTCCATCATCTTCTGCTTTGCATAGTTTGTGACAAGATGTTTGCTGTAACTGTTTTTTTTCTATAATACATCTTTCTGTGGCTGCCTTCAAGGTTTTATCTTTGGTTTTCAGTAGTTTCATTATGTTGCATCTAGTTTTTTTGTTGTTGTTGTTTTTATTTTGCTTGGGTTTCTCTGAGTGTCTTTAAATTGTGGTTTTTAAAAAGTTGTTTTAGAAAATTCTTGTCCACTATCTCTTCAAATGTTTCTCTTGTTCCATTTTCTTTCTTCTACTGGATCTTTGTTAGACTGCTCATTATTGTCTCTTAGGTCTTGTGTCATGTATCCTTTTTAAAAATTTTGTTGTGTTTTACATCTTTTTTGCTCTTTGTTCTTTAGTTTAACTTTTATTAACCCATCTTCAAGTTTACTTGAACTTTGCCATCCCCTTAATTGGGGATATTGTAATTTATATTCTGTGCTTGAGATTTTTTGGCCCATGTATTAGGTTGAATTTGAACCACACGCCATAAGAAGACCAGTTTACTCTTACATATTCTTAGGGAACATTTTTTTTTTTCATTACCAAGGTATTGATAGTAAAGTTTCTTCTATTTTACTCTGATGAGAGGTAAGTTTATTTCTTCTTCACTCTTAGGACGTAGGTGGAACCCTTTGGGAACCTAGCTTTAATCAAGGGTTCTCCTAATACCATCCTGACTTTGGATAGTCCCTAGATTTTATCTCCTGTTTCTATGCCAGTGTGGATGCTCAAGGTCTTTAGAATTAAGCAGAAACACTTGGGTTTTTTAAGAAAGGGGATTTATTGCTTTCTTACCTCCCAGAATTCCTGATTTCACTGTTTCATTTGTGTTTGTTCAGCAGAATGTTTTAAAAGATTTTTTTGGTTTTGTTTTTAATCAGGAAGAGTGTTCAGGGTATCACCTGTACATTATGCCTAAAAAGAAGTCTCTACTCATTCAACATTCTACAATATGGATGTACCATAATTTGTTAATTGCTTCCTTACTAAAGGATTTAGGTTTCTCCCTCTCTCCTTCTTTCCCTCCCTCCCTTCTTTCACTAAAAAAGCTGCGAAGTAAAATTTTTTTTAAACATAGATCTTTGTGCAAGTGCAAGTAGTTTTTGTCACCATTGGAATGAGGCAAAGAAGCAGGATCATTCTTCTTCAGCTTTTCCTGTGCTACTTAATTTGTGGATGCCCTAAATGCCATTAGAATATGTTTTCAGATGTGCTTTAAAAATTTTCCACCCAAACAAAATGCATTATCATAAGCATATTATTGTCTCTGAATAGTGTATGTCCAGGTGACTGTACTCTGGGAGGGTACCCAAAAGACATCCTTGCCGCTGATCCTGGATTGTATTTTGGTTATGTGAATAACGTGGGAGTCATGTTCCAAACTGTAGGACAGTTCAGAACACAGCTTCTGATGTTTCTCAAACAAAACCCAAGACCATCATACACTGTTTTGTTTGGGTGTTTTGTTTTTTTTTTTTTGGATAGCCTGTTGCAAGTAAATGAGGAAATGAAACAGCAGGCTTCAGGCCCTTGAGAGTTGACAGTGCCGGGCCACATGGCATTGATTTCCAATGTAGAGGCCTTTTACAGAACAGTGACTCTAGTCTAGATTATGTCATACTGAGTATTGTGAGCACATTATGTGCATATCTTTTGTTATATACATGGTATATACTCTTCATGGTTCATTTTTCCTTTGTGGCACATTCTGAACTCCAGAATGTTTTATCTGCCATTTGGCCTTCCATAAACTACTGGGCAGGATCTCTGTAAGATACTCTGCTTGGGGAAACTGTATATATACATAATACTTATTTATGATGTATGACTCGTAATTACATCGTCATGATATATCCTTTATCTTCAAAATAACATCTGATAATTCAGTGCCTTGTTAACAATAGGTAAGGAATTTTCTAAAGACTTTTTCCAGAAATCCACATGTTTCTTGGGGCCCTTTCCAATCTCCATACCATGTATCTTTGACATTTTTAAATTTGAAGACTAAACCAAATCTCCCATAACTATTTTGTTTGAATTTTGACTGTGCAACTATCATGAAGGTAGACATTTGAGTTTACTCAATATACATCCTTGTTTAAAACTTTCATGGCTCCTATGAAACTTTCATTTCCTTGGGCTTATGGTAGATTGGCCAGCTTTGGTGACATCTCTCTGGCCTTTGAGGTTGGCACAGTCCAATATAGCTACCCCGGGGGGTGGTGTGTGGCCATGGAAAAACATGCTTTTGTTGTTGAGTGTTCTTGCTTTCTAGTAATTTTATTTTCTGCTCAAGGGATTTAGTATCTGTTCAGATACTTTATTTTTAAAGGCCACATAAGTAATGACTTGACCTCTAATCTTAGCTTTGAAAATTTCCCAGATACTAATAAAGAATTTGAGGATACTACTCACTGGGCAGCAATCAGTGCTATTTAAAAATGTATATTTTACTCTGAATATGATCACCATGGCTAAAAGACTTTCTTAGAAAAATTGTGCATGTAATGACACAATTTGGTGACTCTTGGGCCTAGATTTATACTTTTTACATGGTGTCACTGAGACTTAGTACAGTGCTAAACAACTTTTCTCCCCCGAATTCCTAACCAAATGCAGATGCTCTTCAGCTTAAGATAGGGTTATGTGCTGATAAGCCCATTGAAAATAGAAAATATCATTAGTTAGAATGCATTTAATACATCTAACCTACTAAATGTCATAGCGTAAGTGTGCTTAGAACACTTACATTGGCCTACAGTTGGGCAAAGTCATCTAACACAAAGCCTATTTTATAATAAAGTGTTGACTATCTCATGTAATTTATTATGTGTATTGCTTTCATGCTATTGTAAATTCAAAATATCGTAAGTCAAACCATCATAAATCTGTAATTATTTCTGAGAAAAATATTCTGTATAACAATCTTATTAAAAATAGTGCCTATCTCTTGGACTAATACTAACATTTGTACACAAAGGATTATGGAGTAATTCTTGTTTTGCATGAGTATATGAGTAAACATATGAATAAGATTTTTACAAAGGATCAAGTTACAACTGACGAGTAGGATGATCAGTTAAATTGTCTGGACTGTCCCCATCAGGACAGGCATCATGAGTAGTGGAGTGATGGGGGCTGTGTTAATATTTGTGCCAGGCGCATTCATGGAGTGTGGGGGAGGGGAGCAGTTTCCCCCAGGTGTTTGGGCAATGTAAGAGTTGCCCTTTCTGGTCTGTTTCTACCTGTCTTTTATCTATAATAACATACCCTCTTGCTAAGAACCTGCCGAGACACAGTGTTTTTGTGAGGTTGGTAGAGGAAACTGCATATTGCTGCCATGGAATTTTTCTTGTTTGGTTTTTTGTTAAGCGATGGTGTTTAGTTCTTTGTTAGAAACTAAATTAGCTACAAAGAGAAGAAACAATCCGTTTAATTAATTGTGATCTTTAATTGAAATCTGTTAAAGCCTAGTTGGACAGTCCTGAAAGAGGTTTGAGTAATAGAGGTTTTCCCTTGGTTCCCTTGGTGGGAAATATTCCGGTTCACTTATTTGAAGCCTCACTTATTTGAGGCTATAAAAAATTGTGTTCTTCCTTTCCCTACAGCAAGAATTAGGAACATAAGTCACAAAAAAGATTGTGTTAATTTTTAAAGCTTCCTCATATTTCCACCCTCATCAATTGTAAATAATATGCCTCACTATAAAATAGAAAAGTTTAAATTTTCCACTTGTGCATTTTGAGCTTTTCAGAGGTATTATACACTCTGGAAATAATAATAAAAGATACTAGGCTTTATACAGCGCTTTTTGTGTTAGAAACTCATATAAACACTAATGCATTGATCCTAACACAGTACTTGATTGTGACTTTAAAAGGTCATGAGTTACTGCTGCTACAAAAAATAAATAAATAAATCAATAAAAGAACATCGGCGGGAGAGCTCTAATTTATAAATACTATTTAAAAAAATATCTAGATAAAAGTTGATACATATAACTGGAAAAATAAAAATTACGGGGGATTTTTATTTGTTAACTTTTCTCTTAGCCTGTAATAGGTTTCTGTCCCTCTCTGTTTTTTTCCTTTTATGTATGAATTTACTTCAAGCCTGATTTCCTTCTTAGATAAGGTGACATTTACTTTTAAGCTTTTAAACCTGTGCCAAGAAGGCTTAAACCTGTGGTGGTTTCTGGAATTTGTCATATTAACATAACAATACATGTAATTAGTCCTGAATTGGGAGATTATTTAGCTTTTTTAGTTTAGTATTTGTGGTATATAATTGTTGATTTTGATGAATAAAATGGTCATGTGGCTTAACCTTCAACTTTTTTGTGTTTTTTAGGTTTATTCTTCAGTCCAAGGAAGTAATTCATAATCAGCTGTTAGAGAAACAGAAAATAGCAGAAGAAAAAATTAAAGAATTGGAAGTAAGTTTTAGTGAATATTGACAGTAAGTAGTCAACTTTTAGGAAAAACGTAATTATCTCGCTATGTCATACTAAATTGCTTCCTGAAGTCATGCCATTATTTTCATTTTTTTCTAATTGTGGTTAGAGCTATGAAGCAGTCACATTAATGACAGTGTATGAGACAAAAAAAAAAAATCTCTTGAAACTGTAGGGAATTTTGAAGAAGATAGGATGCTCTTATCTTGAGTGTATTTTCTCCCTGGCCTTTGAATGAATATGTCTCTTTTTAAAAAACAAAAGTAAAAACAATAAATATTTAAACACTGCATATCGTGGTAGGGCACGAACATGGGTAATGATAATAGTAGTCAAAGGATCTTGATGTATTTGTCTTTCACACACTGTAATTCCTTTAACATAGATTGGGTTCTAGACAAGGACCAAGTAGTAAGCTGAAATTAGCTATCTGAAGGATGGTGCTCCACTGAGGAAAACAAGATATTATTATTATTATTATTATTTTTAGGTAATGAAAAGCAGTATAGGAAAGGGTAACTTAGTAAATCTTTGGAAAGTTGGAGTTTATTATTAAAATGTCCTTATACATTAAGACTTTTGATGAGATTTTCTTCTTGGGCTTTGGTGAAGTGCATTCTGTATATAGTAAAAATATGTCTGGACAAAAAACTGGTTATTATTTCTTGGGACCAAGATTTCCTGAGATGGGGTGGATACAATGACTTCATAGGTCACTTTATCTAATTCGTGTGAGTACTGTTTGAGGCAGTGGTTCAGAATCTGACTCAGCCCTCTGCTGAATTGGTGAGACACCCCCTTAGCCTTCTGGGGATTTCTCAGGGGCACTGACTTGGCACAGCTGAGATGAGCATGTAGTGCCCTTACAGTACTTAGGCTTATTTTTGTTTGACTACTGATAGTTTAAATAAACTTGACAATAGATTTGTAGTTTAGGAAGACATATTGTAAAAACAAAACAAATACACAAACAAACAAAAAAGAAAAACTGTTATCCTGCAGTAATCGGGTTGTTATTGTGTCCTATTTTATCATTTTTGTCAGCCTAACTTTCTAGATGGAATTTTTTATTCTCTAGTGTTTTCAAACAAAAGTATCTTTACTCCAATCACAACTGTTTCATGTAGATAAAAAAATGTGATTTTGCATATATTTAGGTAAATATACCAAAAAGTTGTCCAGATGAATAAATAGCAAGATGCAAAGTAATGTGTATATATAATTGTCTTATAATCTCTGTGTTGGGTAAATTGTAACAAATATGTGTTAACATTTATAATTTAAAAAATTAAGGTAAAATTGCCACAGATGATGGTTATAGCATGCTGTTCAGTTTTGATGAGTATTAAGAAATTTATTTTCTAAAAGTTTCATGTAGTCTCAAATACTGGTTAAGTATCCTGATATCTGTCAGATAATAGAAATAAATTGGCTGGCTTGTTGCTACCTGTTTGAAATGCTAATTATAGCAAAAAAAAACTAGCAGAGTTAAACTCTAGCCTGTATCCTAGGAAGGTATTTTGTTTTTTTTTTTCTTTTTAATCTTTCATTTTACTGTTATTTATATTTTAAAAGCAATATAAGTGCAGTTAAAAAAGAAAAACAGTAAAAAAGTAAAACATGATAAAATGAAAATACAACTTTCCCCTCTTTCCTGTACATCCCCGTATGTCACCTCTGCAGTGGTATGTATGATTCCAAACTTTATTTTATAAACGCATTCATATACACACACACACACTTTTTAAAAAAAGTGAGTAATTATTGTGTATATACTGTTTTTCATCATTTGATAATTTATCTTTCCACTTTAGTATATAAATCTAATCTATATTTAATTTCTTGTTTTACATTTCTTCTACCATTGTAGCTTCCTAATTACCTCAACATTCAATCGTATGATTCCTACCTCTGCGTTTAGTATACTCTTTCAATACTGCCCTCGGCTGTATTGTTAGTATCACTCACTACGTACCGTCTTCCCTGAAGCAATCCTGTACTTTTCCACTTCTGTACCTTTAGAGCTTTGTTACTTCAGCCTGAAATGTATGCATGTGTACACACCCTCACGTGCACTCATCCACACACATTGTTAATAGCAGTGTTCAGATTGTCTTCCTGATTTTTTTCCTGCTTATTTATTTAGTTATTGAGAGATGCATCAATCTCCGTCTGTAATGGTGTTTGTCAGTTTCTCCTTGGTCTTTCAGTTGAGTGGGCAATGATATTTAGAGACTAAACTGGGTGCTGTAAGCGCTCATCATATTGTACACATAGTTCAGAGGATATGTTTCCTTTTGCTTTACGTGTTTACGTATTTCTCAGCTTTTTAAAAGACATTTCACTGATTCTGGCTTCCATTGTGGCTCTTTAGAAGCCACCTCTCAGTCTAAGTATTCCTTTGTTGTTTTTCTCTCTGGCTGTTTTTAACCTTCTCTTTTTCTTTCATGCTTTGTAGTTTCTTTGGGGTATGTTTAGGTGTGGATTTAGTCTTTTTATTTTTTTTTCTTAATCTTACTTGGATTAAGTTGGTTTTCTGAATTTGAGGATTAATGTCTTTCATCAATTCTGGAAAATTCTTATTATCTCTGAATATTACCTCCCTGTTTTCTCTATTAAATGGTATTTCTTTCTGGAATTTCCCCCCCACCTTTGTACCAGCTTCCCCCACCATCTGCAGTAGCATCTTAACTGGTTTTTCCATCTTCAGCTCCCCCCTTTTCAATTCTTCTAACATATTTAGGTTAGAAAGACTTCTAAAATATTGAATCTGGTCATATTACTCCTCTTTGTAAAACCCACCATTGTTTTTAGGGTAAAAAGTTTAAACTGATTAACATACCTTTAACATTGTTTATGAACCTCTGTCTTCTCTTACACTGTATGCTTCAGCCACACAGGAATATTCTGTTTTTAGAACTCATTGTGCTTTCTTTGTTTCTACTGGGTCTTTGTAAAAGTACCATATTTTGCCATGTATAATATGCACTTTTTTTGTCCAAATTTTTGTGGGAAAAATAATGATGTACATTATACATGGGCACTCAGTTCTAATTCCCATGACAAATGGGAATTAGTACTGAAAGGTAAATGCACATAATACATGGGATCACATTATACAGAGCAAAATTCAGTAGTTCCCTCTAACAGAGAACCTCTTCCTCTTGCCCTTACCAGCTTCCTCTATTAATCCGTAGCATCTTAGTTTAGGGCTGTTTTTCTTGAGAACCATTTTTTGATTTCTCAGTGTTAAATTAGGTGCTTTTCCCTTGTTCTTGTTAGTTTCATAGCACATGTGGGAATTTAGGCACACGAGCTATCACTAGTCTGAGTAATTGCAAATATGATTTCCTATTACTTGCGAAACTACATACTGATTCAGAGCTCCAAGTAGTTTTTCCCAAGGCCTTCCAGTTGTTGCTCCTCCTTTCAAATATGCAGTCTCTTCTGGGCCCTAGTATTTCTTGCCAGTCTAATGTGATTGTCTTAATCCTTTTTAATTATCATTAGCATTGTTAATTTCTGCTTTCAAATTCCTTACAATTAAATTAGGGAGGCACAATTTATATGTAACTTTGCAGACAAGGGTCAAGTTGTTTCTGTTTAGCATGTATTTCATCTTAGAAGGAGTAAGTAGTTTTTGGTCTGGGTCCATAGGTCCAGTTTCTGATCAAAGCAGTTGACATGGCCTGATGTGTGTATGCCTCCTCTCTCCCTGTCAACAGTCTACATAGATGACACTAAGAATAAACCTTTTCCATGACCTGCTGCTGCTGGTCTGAGTCAGGTTCTCTAATCTGAGAACCCATTTTCTTTAGTATTGCATAGGCTCCCTTTTATTCACCTCTGTTCTTACTGTTTCTTTATGTTTGCCCTCTCCAGACTCCCCCTCCCCACCGGCCCATCTTTATGAGTGCGAAGCTTACCTAGAATTTTCGCTTTGATAACTCTCTTAGGGTGTGCCTACACTGTCAACCAACTTGGTGGCCCACCTGCTGGCCCTTTAACCCTATGGAGCAGGGCAGGGGTGGGGGAGCACATACTATAACCCTGCCCTCATGCGTCCTTGATAGGGAGTTGTGTTACTTACTAGAAAGGTAAAGGCAAGTACTGTTTTAACCTTGAAAAGATAGTCTTACTGTGTTCCTTCTTAAAACTCCATATTTACATTTGAATGCCCCCTATGTTGGGTTATTCTTCTGACTGTAATCACTTGGGTGGGATTGTTTAGGAACTATTTTCATAACAAACTCACAATATGGTAACATTTTGTAGATTTTTATATTTCTTTAATAAAAATGATAGATCAGATTTTGAGAGGGAATATTACGATTTCATCCTAATGGTGATTAGTAGCTCAGCGATGCTGATTCTAGTTAAGAGAAAATATAAAATGGTGGCTTTAGTACGATAGAGTAACCATGTTCTTTATGTCATTGATGGAATTTTCCATTTTTAAAAATATTGAGCCCTGGCCAGGTGGCTCAGTTGGAAAATCATCCTGTACACCAAAAGGTTGCAGGTTCAATTCCTGGTCAGGGCAAATACCCAGGTTGTGGGTTCAGTCTCCTGTCGAGGTGCATATGGAAGGGAGTCGATCGACATTTCTCTTTCTCTCACCCTTCTGATCTCTCTCTAAAATCAATAAAAAATATCCTTGGGCAAGGATTAAAAAAAATTAAAAATATCGATAATATAACTTTTAAAAGAAGATGGCTGAGTATATAACACATAATATAATATATGCTGTCATTAGAAAAGTACAAAGCATAATTTTTAAAAATGACATGAATTAATTGGGATTTGGAATTATGGCCCTGAGTGTCATCTGTCTTTGTAAAGATAATTTTCTTTTTGAAATGTACAGTATGCCACAAAGAGAAAGAAGTTTTGTTTTTTGAGGAAATTCAGTTTTACTTAAAGGTGAGTTAAAACCTATTGATAGATGGAGGAGATATATAGAGAGAGGAGTGTTTTTGCTC